TAGGGCTCCTTCATTCCTATGACTTAATATCCCAATTTTGTGGTCTACCAGCCTGATCCTTATTACTTAACTACTGCATAATCACATATACATTAAAAAGTAAATGCTCTTAACACTAGTAGCAGTACAGAAATTTCAGTGCTCAAGGAAACCAACTTGGTATCATGTAAACTGCATCTGAGAAAAGAAAAAGTCCTGTGGTTTTAGATGGGACAGAGGCGAATTCACCTTCAGGTTTCCAAGATTGCCATACATATAATTCAAATATTAATTAAAAGGGACAAAAATATTCTTGTATCAAAGTCTTGGTACAATTACACAGTTGTACTCTGTGAGTGGCAGTAGAGTTGTTTGCTAAGTGCGTTCGTTTTAATATCTGAAAACTTCTTATTTGGACATATTTAAAATTAGACCAAGAACTTTGGTTTTCCGAGAGTATATTTTTAACCCACATAAATTTGGAATTCCTCATTGTGTCCAAATATTAAAAGATAATACAATAATACATAAGAAAGGGCAGACTTTTCAGGCTACTCAAACCAATGTAGGCAAGAATTTGGGGCATGTGGGACCAAATTCGGGCTACATGGGCTCAGGAAATTTCTAGTCCTTTCCCAGGACTACTGGACAGTACAAGCACATGATTTATGAGAAAATGGCAGTCTTTTTCTCAGTGAATAGAGTAGCCAGGCCACACAGTGCTATGCTGCCCTATATTAAAGTACTATTTCTCCTGTGAACATTTTTTTTTCCTTTTATTCCTTGCTCATTTTAATTCTTTATCTGCATTTCTGTAGCTATTTTGAATACGAACTTGTAACTTCTTAGAAACCTATATGTAATCATACATAATAATACTTTATAGTTAAGCAGAGCACGCAACAATTTGTGCTAGCCCCAGATTTCACACACACATAAAGGAAGATTCCCACTTCACATTGTTCTTAAAATGAATTACTCTAAAAGACCAGAAACACTGCTCCCCTCTCATATCAAAAAGGAGGGCCTAATATTAAATAAGCAATGTCTAATTTAAGCAGAAATAATCTATAAATTTAAATTGCCTGCTATATATCTCGACCCAAAGATCTTCCTGTTAAGTGGTTATTCTGGGTATAGTAAAGGGCACCACGGAGCCAATATTACTGATACTATTCTCAGGCATTTTCCATACAGGCATCTGTGATACCCATTCATGTTTATTATTGTCCCTCATACTTTCGTTCAGGAAATCCTGCAAAGAAATAGGATGTGCCTGATGCAGTGCACGTATCAGGAGTCAGCTCTATGTGCTGTTCAGCTGATCTATATATATACTTCTATCTACATGACTCTGGATGTGCTAGACTCACCACATATAGACTACACAGTCAGTATATACATATTCAAAACCTTATCATTTGAAAAGGATATATGACATCCAGCATGTTGACAGTTCAAGTCAGGAATCCAGAGAAGTAGCAGGAAAAACAATTCCAGGTTAAAAAAGGGACCTGTGCATATGGTAGCTCTATGATTACACTTGCCTAAGTAAAATTACTCATTAAGAAGAGATCAATAACAATAAAAAATTAATGACTAGACAAATAATTAATCTGAGCATAAATAACATTTCCCTTAAGGTTTTTACATGTGAAAGAGCTTCATAAAAGCTTAGGCTCTTCAATTAAATTTTAACTGTTTAGTTGAGTTTTTTCTGTAAAACACATTCTATGATGTGTCTTAGTTGGTAGAGTAAGTGAACAGTATTTTTTGTAGGAAGACCTTACCAAGACTTTAAAGTTTAGCAACAATTTTAAATTGTAATTTGAAATTACAGGTTTGGGGTGTGTTGGCTGGTGCTTTTGCTTTCGTGGTGGTTTTTTGGTTTTGGTTGGTTTGGGGGTTTTAATAAAATAAATCATTTTGGGATGGTTGATATAATGAACAAATGAGAGATCAGATACTTTTGTGGCCTAGAATTTAACTTGTTTAGGACTACAGTGGTAATCCTGTTCAGGATTACAGTGGTATTATGCACACATTGTGGTCGCTCAAAAGCATATGCTGCTCCTAGTCTATCTTTCTATTTTGAAGTAGTACAGTCCCTGCCTGAGCTGCTCTTACCCCTATTCCCTCTACTTTACCTCATCGTAAGACAAGGAAAATCAAGTGATAACACTATAACAACAATATACTAGGGATTCTAGTTGTCCACAAATAAAATTTTGATGAAAGCAGATGAACTGATTGTAAGATACCAGCTCCAATATCAAGGTCCTATGGGAGGGCAGTCAATACCAAATTTAGAGATGCTGTTGGCAATGTGCTACTGAGCTTTTAATCCAGAGTGGTAGCTGTAATGAGTAACAGCAGCTTTCCAATGAAGAGGATGCAAGTTCCTATGGGTGGTTTTTATGCTGTTTGACACTTGATTTGATGGACTCACTGAAGCCACAGCTCAGAATGTGTACATTTTTTCTGTAAGCAGTCTGAACTAGTGAGCATCAATTTTATTATGAAATTTTGAACCTTTTATTTATTCAGGTGAGGATGAAAAAACAGTATTCCCTGCAAATGGCAACAGTCTCTATTGCTGATTAACAGCTATAAGGTAAAAAAAATATAGAAGAGTTACACTGAATGACAAATAAGCTAATTGATTAGATTGTGAAAGTTAGGTTTCTAACTTCTTACTAGAATTTTCTGATAAAGAATACAGTAAATGTAACTTCCTGAAACTTACTTTCAATAGTCATGGTCTGAGTTCCACAAATAGATCAACTTAACAAATAAAGTACCAAATATAAAAAACTTGTGTTTATTTTGCCTTAGGTTTAACTCAAGCAGAGTTCAAGCAATTTTTTCATTTGTCACCTTATTGCAAGAATAGCATATAGATAAAAAGGGCCAGGATGTGCACTGTAGAGAACAAGGTCACAACTTTCTTGCTTTGCACAAAGAACTCTCTTAGAATCTGCTATTCTCTGATCCATCAGAAGTTGTGGGACTGCAGCAATGTAATCAATGCATAGCGTACACATAACATTTATATTGGGCTGAGAATGTGAGCAGCAGAAGGAAATGGATACCATCAGTCATAAAGTTCCATCTTGCATCCCACCATCCTTTCTGCTTCTGAAATCCTTAGTCTTCTAAGAGCAAATAAATTAATTTCCCTGTCTAATCTTCATAAGGTACAAGTTAACTCATCTAATGCTATCTGATGAAGAAAAAGAGGTGAAAATACAAAATGTATCATCAGCATATTGATTAAAAACTCCCTATGTTCTATACTTTCTCCTTTCCTTTGATCCCTTCCCACTCCAGGTTACCTGATAATACATGGAAATGACCAAGCTACCACTCTGACAGAATCTGAGAGGGCACAGGGGAATTGTTTCATGTTCTCCAATGAAAACATGAATTTCTCTACCTCTGCTAGCATCTAGTATTGTCTAAAGAGAACTTTACAATACTGAGCTTAATTGGCACAGATAAAAAGATCAGTATGGGCTCTTAACTTCTGCACATCAGAGGGAAAAATCATAAGCTAACAATACAAGCATGATTTCTATAAATATCAAGGCCTAATAAACAACCTATCTGTTTAACAGGTGCTATGAAGCTTCAAATTACTGCAGCAGCTCACCCTCTAGTCTTCAACAATCTTTCCTCCCAAAATGGAGATGTGCAAGAGAACAGAAATTAAATATTAAACTGTTAGAGTTAACAAGTCTTCTTCTGAAACTGTTTTCCTGACAAATCAATTATGAAAACACAAATACAAAGTTTTTAAAACAAACATTACTATCATTATCATTTATTTATTTTGAAGTTACACAAGGACACCACAGGCACATTGATTTGGCACCATAAAAAATATAAATGAAAAACTTCGTTCTTTGATATCACTACTTCAGGTACAGGCCTCACTTGCTACTCTGAGTACCACCTGAGACCAAATCATGCTTTCTTTTTCTGACATGGATTGAGAAGGTGATTTATAAACAATGGGCTCCTTATTCTGTTGTACATTTTTTTAGCATTTTTTTATTTCTACTGTTTTCTCTTGAAAATAATTTCCAAATTAATACTATGATAACATATATAGCTTTAATGTGAATGTGTGTCTGTAGAACCACTACTGAAAAAAGAATTCACATATCAAACTGATCTTCAATAGATATTTCCCCTTTACCTTTAATAACCGACAGCTTAATTATTACTGACAACAACAAATGAGACAATAGCTAAATGGACAATGACATGAAGAAATATAATAATTCTTGTGCTGATTTCTTCAAACAGTCCTATTAAGAATTAAGCTAGACAGTAATGTTACAGTCAAAATGTGAACTGTATCGTCGGTGTGGACCTCTGGTTAATTAACAGTTGGTGAGCCCATTCTCTCATACACACAGACACACAACTGTACAAAATGGCACAGAAAGAAAATATTTCCTTGTATATCTTTTATAAAATCTAGCTAATATGGGAATTTATTCAAATATCATGTGTGTGTGTGTGTGTGTGTGTGTGTGTGTGTGTGTATATATATATGTTTATATATATTGAAAATAGCAGTAACAAACCTCATAGATTTATTCCTGGAACATCAGAATCTCAGATGCTCAGAATCTTGAGAGACCTGCTCTTCCTGAGCCTGAATATCACCAGATTTTTCTTCTTAGGAAAGAAGAAACAAGGTCACTTCTATAAAATGCTAGGAATTAATTTAGTATACCTTGATTATAAAATGATCTGATTTTGCAAGTAAGACTACTGCATCACAACATCACATTAAGAGTAAGAGGCCAGATATCAGATTTAACGAGGTTAAAATGAAAAAAATCACACCATCATCACAATCAGTCAGTACAAAATGGCTTTGAATTCCCCATTCCATCTTTGGCTCTACCTTAACAGCCAACCAGAGGATACAATCTGATTCCGAAATGTGGAAAAGATCATATTACTAAGATATATTATGGGTACAATTAAATGTTTTGCCAGCTTACCTGATTGAAAGAGAATGACAAATCACTGCAAAGCCCAGCATCCAAAAATAATATATGTCTCCTCCTGAAATAGTCCAGATTTCCATCCACAAAGCTTTACTAATTAATTATAATTTCTGTATTCTCAGTGGAAAAGAAAACACAGAGACCTTTCCAGAATCCTCTCTGATTCTGCCTCCGCTTCCTGTTCTCAGTCTCACTCTATGGTACCCAACATATATCAGAAAACAGCTTATTAGGAAAGGGGGGAGTGAAGGGTGGGGGATTGGAGAGGGAGAAGTGAAAAAAATGCAGCACCTAACGTGGCAGCTCCACCTACTGGTAAAGACAATGAATACGCACAAAGCATCAGTTTATGAAGCATCTTCATCCTAGTTTATTCCGACCTACACTTCAAATAGCTCCTGTGTAGTAAGTTCCTCCAGGCAAGAAGCAGAACAGATCAACAAATCCACATTGATTAGTGAATAACCATTTGAAAGATCTATTCTTGAAATAATTAAATTGTCTATATACATTCAGCAGAGCTTTTAGTTTTAAATGTGCTGTTCCCTTTAAAAATCCATGGAAAGAGAGGAATGTGTAAATAAAACAGCACAGACACTGACTGCACCCCTAACTGGTATGTGCTGAACTTGCTGATAACCTTGATCCTGTGTTATTCATTAAATACTACCAGGCATTTTTGGAATCATGTTAATTTCTTTTATGTGCATAAAATGTACTATGCTTATGTAAAAACCATAGCTCTAAGTCTTTCCCTTAGGTAGGATTCCTGAGCATGTGCAGATTTACATTTCCTTACCTAGGATTCCTTTGGATATCCTGGGAAGAATTACTAGAGCAGTAGCTCCAACATCACCTGGTCCATGGGCAACAGTATTGAGTGAATAATGTGCTTCCGGCAACATATTATTTTGCCCTGCACATCAGTTTGAGGAGTATTGTGTCTGAGGAAAGCAAGATGCAGAAGCGCTGAGCAGTGTCAGTGAGTGTGTGCAATATATTGACTCATAGCCTTGGGTTAGGGACCACTACAGTTCCCAACTAATTTAAAATCAAGCTACCAGTTTGTTCAGTCATGTGGGATTTAATAAACAAACATTACGCCCCAAAACAAGAAAAAAGAGCATAAGAGACAATGACTATTTTGCTCTCTTGTAGCTCCTGTATTTTCTTTAACTATGTCTTCACTAGTGGCTAGAGATAGCCCCATTCTCTGTCCCACTGGTCACATACTTTGTGACCTCATTAAAAAATAGGAAACATAGTCCTTAATACCAGCGGCATTCTTCCAGCAGAAAAGAGCTGGTTCAGAAATGTGATTCTCTGATAAGTTTTATAACAACATATTCTTGAAATAACTAATTTTTGTGTGCTAATATTCCAAAAGATTGTTAGATTAACATCATATTACTACAGAACCCCCATTCCTGATTTTTTGTAGTAGTTTCCTTACACTGATTGCAATCTTCTGTGATATACCAGTTGGTACAATGACTATACATAATGTATTCATCTATACCAAGACAGCCTTCTCATAGGTATAGGTCTGATATGAGAGAAATTCTGTCACTGATTTACACAGTTTAATTATCAACCCCCACACTAAAAAAAAAAATCCAGAAATTAAAAGTTTTGTTTGTAGAAATAAACATGGCACACAGAGTCCTGCTAAATATTCATTTATGAATATGGCTCATATATGGCTCATATTCTTCTTTAATCAGTATATAGGATTGCCTGTATAGTGATTCAAATTTGTTGAAACCAGACAGAGTTTTTGATTTACTGAAACAGAGTTTGAGTCATGTTCTTAAGAATTCCTTAGCACTTTTTTAACCTATCAGTGGCATAACAGGGCAGAAACAAATAACTATGCAATATGCACAAATATACATTCATACTATAAATACACCAAACCATCTATATGGAACAAACTCATGCACACACCTGAATTTTTAAACTTGAAAATTTCATTTAAAGAAATGGTCTTTCACCACAAATCTATATAAAGTGTGTAAATATGGTACATACAATGTATAGCAAATATACACATACTATGTATATAAAGTCTCTCTCCTTCCTTTCCTCTGCCTCACTAGATCCCACTGAACAGTTGACGGCCAGATCTGAAAATCAGAAGTGGTCTTTTAAAAGACCACTAAAATTGGCTGCTTTGACAAAAGTAATTTACAACAATGCCAGCCTGGCACTTGTTTCAACTTAAATTATTAGTACAACTTTTAGTGAATCATCACAGAAAGTTCATCTCAGAAATTACATTTAAAAATACAACTTGAAAAGCCTTGACATTTCTAAATAATGTTTGTCTCAGAATCCTGCCCCAGGTGCAGTTATGCTCTCAGTAATAAGTGCAGAAATGCAAAGCTATTCAGTCACTTTTAACTAAACAGCTGAAACAGAAATGTAAGTATCTTAGTTGCACAGAGAAAATTTTGAAGTGTTAAATATGAATGAATACAGCCCCTGTATGAGGTCTCATATAAGGCCAAGCCATGTACATAGTTCACATTTAACTTCTCAGCAATGCAGTCATCAGCCTGTTTTAACATCAAATATATTGTTTTATTAATACCATTATTTTTGGACAATAATCCTCTTTAGTAAGGCACTTTTGTGAAAACTATACATTACACTACTCAATTTCTCTGTCAAATTTGTCAAATTAACACATACTTAAAGGCATCAAAATATATGACATACTTTCATATCTCTTCCTTCAACTACTTACCTGTCTTAGCCTTTGAAGGTGACCTAAATTGCAGTATTTAGCTAAGTGTGATGGCTCTGACTTTAATTCAAGACTGGCTGATATAAGTGTGTAAACATATTTTTCTACTTTTGGTTTCTTTCTTTTTTTCTTCTTTTAGTCTCTAGAGTGCAGAATCCAAAAAACTGCTTTTAATAAATTTTGTACTAGAGTAACTAATGCATATGTAAAAGCCATGGACCTGACATAGTGGCTTTCCAGCTAATAGTCTGCACTTTTACTTAAGAATCTATGTTTATGTGACTCATGCTTAGGGTGGTAAGCAAAATTTAGGGAAGGCAATCCACTGAACTGCATTGCAAGAATCTAGTCTAACATGAATCAAGAGAAGCGTGGGCAGCAGGTCGAAGGAGGTGATTCTCCCCCTCTACTCCACTCTCGTAAGGCCCCACCTGGAGTACTGCGTCTAGTTCTGGAGCCCCCAACACAAGAGAGACATGGACCAGTTAGAATGAGTCCAGAGGAGGCCACGAGGATGATCCAAGGGCTGGAGCACCTCTCCTATGAGCACAGGCTGAGAGAGTTGGGGCTGTTCAGCCTGGAGAAGAGAAGGCTGCGGGGAGATCTTATAGCGGCCTTCCAGTACCTGAAGGGGCTACAAGAAAGCTGGGGAGGGACTTTTCATAAGGGCAGTTAATGACAGAACAAGGGGAAATGGGTTTAAACTGAAAGAGGGGAGGTTTAGATTAGATATTAGGAAGAAATTCTTCCCTGTGAGGGTGGTCAGACACTGGAACAGGTTGCCCAAGGGAGTTGTGGATACTCCCTCCCTGGAAGTGTTTAAGGCCAGGTTGGATGAGGCTTTGAGCAACCTGATCTAGTGGAAGGTGTCCCTGCTCATGGCAGGGGGGTTGGAACTAGATCATCTTTAAGGTCCCTTCCAACTCAAACCATTCTATGACTTTATGATTCTATGATTTACAGAAGATCAGTGATAGGCTTGCAGAGAAGTTTCTACAGTTTTTTTGTTCAAAAACTTACAGATTGCACATATGGAATTTCAAAACTCGGAAAGAAAATACAAAATGTGGGAATCAGTCAAATAGACTGTATAGAACAGAAATGCAGAACTTCCTGGGGTAAAGAGGAGCCTGAGGATACACCTCAACTCCAGCCGCTTGCTGTATCATCAGTAATAGCATAATATTCTGTTTGTATGGGATCACTTAAAAGTATAAGGAATTCAAAGTAACTTAAGCCTTTGACCGCTAAAATATTGTAACAGGCCATAGAGCATACTATCTGAAAAATTATCTGCTTTAAATTATTCATAGTAATGTTGCAATAAAGATATGTGATCAGCAATCTGTACTTTAATGGCTGTAGCTTTCAATAATAATACAAAATTATTTTAACATTAGCGTTACTAAATAATAGTTAGACCCTTCCTATTCTTTTAGAAAAACAATACGAAGGCCATACCCAAATGGCTTCAGTCATTGTCATCCCAATAGTCCCATTGTTTTTGTAAAAATGAATTAAAAATAAGTCTCAAAGCGTAAACCACCCCAACTACCTTCCATATGTACCTCAGTAAGTTCTTCCAAAATATTGACCTCTAGTTACAACTTCCTTGTCATTCAGATGAACTGTAATCACAATTATAAGATTATTGTGAGATGAACAAAATGTACACAACAATCACAGCTTAGAGGTGTCTTAAAATATTCACACTATATGTAGTATATGCATATACACACACACTTCGTGTTTATATATAGAAAGATTAGGGATCACGCGTACCTGCATTTGGAAGAAATAAAATCATCATGTGAGACTCATATCTGTTTAGTCTAGTGGTCTAACAGTGGCCAGCACCATAGGCTTCTAAGTTCAAGGTAATAAGCAGCAGACAATAATAAAATAAGTGGTCAATAAAAAGACTTCTTATGCCAGTGATCCTCAAGCTAGAGGTGGGTTTAGCTGGCACTCTACTTGGTTGCAGGAGCTTCATGGCCAACTTCATTTGGCATTATTAATTACTTAGTGTGAGACAGTTAGTGAAAAGTTACATAGGTCAACTGTAAAGATATAGCTTTTCCACCATATTTGAGCTAGATGTTTCCCTCCTCAAACATGTAGCAGGCACTGCATCAATTCCCACTACAGATGTTTTGTAATTTCTGAGTGCTAGGAGCAATATTTCTTCTAATCTTGTTAATTTTGCATTATAAGACTCTTAATTTTATGTCCATTTTGGTACAAGACAGGAGAGTCGTGGAAGGCAACTAATTCATAAGGAAATACCTTTTTGCATGACATATAATATACCTTAAGAACTTACAGATATACAGGCCAACAGCTTGGGAGGATTCTGAAAAACTCTAGATATTTATGTGAGTAATAAGAGTTAGAACAGGGAGCAGGCACTGACTCAGATAATAAGGATTCAGTATCTAAGGCTTGCAAGCTTCTTGTG